TTAATATATTATTCGATTTGCTTCAATTTTCATCATTATTATTTATTTCCTATTTCCAACTATCATGGCTCTTTCTTCATATTACATTGTATTATATTTGTCTATATTTCTGTTTAATATTGAAATGTCCGTAATCACGGACACTATAAATTGAATGTGCTGGCATCATCACGATTGTATATACTCGACTAAGGCGGATTTAATCTCCTAATGAATTACATCATTTGCTACATAAATCGAAGCGAAACTAATATACCCTTCAGCACACTTCACACTTCTCCGATGGGTGAGCGGAGCAGACAGTAAATGAGAATTACGCATCTGTCTTATATCTGTTATATACACTAGTGCTCACTGTACTTACCCGATGATGCAGCATCTCCGTCGGTGTATAATGCGCTCATGACGATACAAATTAGCAAAAGTTTCCACATATTATATCTGAATTTTTCTTTGCATATAAAAATTCGGCTGATTTTAGCTAGAAATAAGAACTAAATAAATAAAATCATCAACAAATGTGCAATCTAAAATCTCAGATTTCGGAATAGAAACTGGTCTCGGCTGAGCCGTAGCGATCCGGTTTGCTGCTGTGGCTGTTGCTCTTGACTTTGATGATTTGTTTTTTGTTTTGTTTTCATCTGCCGTTAATGAGTCTCACTTATATAATTCATAATATTCTCGATCTATGTATGCAAATTGAAAATAATCCTCTATTGCCATTGTTTGGCTGAATTCTCACTTGTTAGCTTAGCGCTTGTCTAACTTGAGTCTAACTTGGGAAAAGTGCTTCTAGACGACTGTCGTATACTCTTCCCCTAAACCGGAGATGTTTGCCGAGCCCAACACGAGCCTGGACGTAACCGTCAATTAAATTTGATAAAAGTTTGTTTAATTGCAATTACACGACTTTTCAATTATTGAGTTATTAATTATAGCGAACCAGAGACAGAGACAGTGAGAGAGAGAGGGCTAATCGAGAGGGCGGCACATGTGAGAAAATCACCAAATACAAAGCGGAAATCCCCAAAATGTAAATTAATTGATTTCTATATATTTGGCGTATATTTTTGTTTGTACCAGAGATTTCTAAACCGGTTTCACTAATTGCTGCTCTTTTGCTCTTTTTTTAGTATTTTTTTTTTTTTTTCTTTTTTTTTTTTTGTCAATTAATAAAAAAACATTTGTTGTTGTTCTTTAAAACGTTTAGCAATTTGGTGCGCATTTTGTACATCACTTCCATTCAACGCTCGACGCTTCTTGATTGGCGATTCCGCTCGCACTCGTTGAGCGCTTAGGAGAGCTCTCGGAATATTTTAGTGTTGCACTTCACTGTGGCACTTTGGCAGAGCTCTTGTTTATGGTTCATTGCGGGGCTTTTTGCTGACTAGATCACCATATTTAGATGGTTTCTGTCTGAATACCGGAATAATAAATGGCCGAGCTTTCTTCACAAAGACAGCACAAAACGAAAACCAGTCAGCGAATTAACATATGATTTGGAAATTCGCACAGCCTAAGCTAAATGGATATCTTTGTCTGTCTGGGCTTTGTTCGATTTGGCCTCAGTCAAGGCGCGTTCTAAGTTGAATGTCTTTACGAATGTCGTCTTTAGTGTTGAAGCATGTTCTTGTTTTTCCTTATCGGCCTAAGATGCCCTTTCTCACAGCCAGCACAGCTCACTTACTCACACACTGGCCAAAAAATCAAATCGAACTGCGCCGCCGATTCGCAAAGCCAACAAAGTTATGAAAACAAACGAAGCGTCTATAACACAGCTCTCATACACCCTCTCTCTCTCTCTCTCTCTCACTTTGCCTTCTCTTGCTCTCAGTTCAGTCACTGAATCGTAATTGATATGGTGTGTCAGAGCTGAACGACTTTGATTCTTAGCCACGATCACAGCTCGCGCTCAGAACTATCTCTCACAGATCCCACTCGGAGCTCCCTCTCACTGTTGCCCTCTCACTCACTCTTTGATCGCGAACCTCCGCTCGTGTTTACTGTGTGGCAAGCTGGCCACGTCTGAGCTGGAGCAGGTGAGCGCAGGTCCTCTTATAAACGGGGCTCGCACCGAGCCGATCGAGCAATGACAAACACCTTTGCACACTAAACACACACACACACACACACACAATAACACCTACAATCAATGTGTGTGTGCGTAATATGTAAAACGCTGTCTATATGCTTGCTGGGCCGACTAATTATAACAAAAGGCAGCTTTTGTTTTGCCCCTAAACTATGAACCACTTTACACTAAATCAATTTGGGCTCATAAATAATTCCGTTAAAGGCTTCAAAATCAAGTCAAGTCGAACGATTTAATGCATTTTTATTCACACAACTCGCAACAGATCTTAAACATTTAGACTCTAATATAGTGGATTTACATGAATATATACCACATATATTTATATGTATGTATATAGTATTTGCTGTTTCAGTTTAACTGAAATATGATTGATAGGAACAAGTGTTGATTGTTTTCGTGTCAAAATCTAGAATGGGGGAATGTGGGTAATACTCTGAGAGAAACCGTAGAATATCGCTATTTCTTTTAATTGCAAATGTTAAAATTTTTCAATAATTTCGTGTATATATATATATTGCTTTCACTTGGATTTGCTGCAACCACAAAACTCGTCAAGAATTAAAGGAAATAAAACAATTCAAGGCCTCTATAAAAATCCCTATATATGGTGTGAATACCGTTACAGTAAGAGCTAATACCTGGATGCGATATGACTATATAACAGTAGCTATACATCTAGCTAAATTGGTTCACCGACTGATCCAACTACCCATCCACTTGTCCCCCCCCCACTTGTCCACGTCCCGCTGCCTGGCTTAGAGCTTGGACTTCTCCTGGCCCTGGGGTATGATCACGTCGCGCCACCACGCGGGCCGCTGGAAGGCACCCTCGTTGGTCATAAATTCGTTCTGCAGATTCTCGTAGAGCAGCCCGTCGGCACGCGCAATCACCGAGTTGAGTGCAAAGTCCGGCGGAGCAATGGCATCGGCCACGCTGACGGCCACGTCCTTCAGCTGCGCACAGCTCTGCAGGAGGCGCTGCTGCACGGCAGACGCAAACTCGCCGCCCACGGCAAAACCGCCCACATAGAACGTGGTCATATGGCTCTCCAGCAGCCACAAGGCGTAGACATCGTACAGCGTGCGCAGCACCTGGGCGTACGGCTCCTCCAGCCGCAGCTGCCGCACGTGGGCCACAAAGCTGCGCAGGGCGAAGTACTCGGCGTAGGCCAGCGACAGCTCCCGCGCGCCCCTCACCTGCGAGTTGTTCCGCGCCTCGAAGCGATGCACGCCGGCGGCCAGCTGCGCCTCGATGTGGGCCGTCGTGTGGGCCATCAGGTAACACAGCAGCCACTCGTAGCAGCTGAGCGCAACTGCAATAAAAAACAGATTTAATGCCATTGCCCGCAGTAAATTGATTCACGCGCTCGCTTACACTCCCAGCTGTCCAGTGGACTCTGCTGCCGCAGCTGGGCGAACCGCAGCTGCAACAGGGCCTCGCGACGCTGCAGGAACGTGACGCTGCCGATGGGCGACTCCAGCTCCTTGGCGCTCCACTGGCGCAGCAGCCAATTGGAGGCCTGCTGTCCGAGCACGTTATTGTCGCCCTCGTAGGTGCACAGCGGATCGTGGTCGCTGCGCATCTGGCCCAGCTTGGAGGCGTACAGGTATCCATGCCCGCCGCACGCCTCGCGCGCCTCCTGGATGGCGTCGCGCGCCGACCACGTGATGCGCGGCTTCGATGCCGATATAATCGCGTGAATCTCCGCTGCGTTCTGGGTCTGCAATCGAAATTGAAAGCAAATTCAGTGGAATCCGGTAATAGCGTCCGTAAGGCATACTTATATGAGCAAACCTATGTGATTATAGCGTCCTCGGATATAACGACGGTCCCTTGAGCGTCGTTATAAGCGGATTCATGTGTATTACAATTTGAAATTGGAGTGAGTTTTAAGATGGAAGTGAGTCTAAGTACTTAGTAAGCGTATCAGATTCATGTTCTTATTACGATTTCAAGAAGAAATTGAGAGACCTATGGCAATACATATCGAATAAGCTAGCACTGTTCAAAGAGACGCCAGGATATGATAAAATAATGAAAGTAATACTGTGGCTTTAACAGCAGAATCTCTTCTCTAAGTTTGTCAATTCTTAGTTGCCTCATATTGTCGTAGTTCTTGAAGAGAAACAAATATATATTATGATTCCGAAAGCTGAACTGGTTGTGCAAGAGAGGAATACCAAGAATTCTTGATTGCCAATAAAATTATATAATATAACTTGTAGTAAATATAACTTAAGTAATATCTCTTGAGAAATTTTTATTGATAGGAATGTCTGAAGTTGGTCTAGACCGAAGAGCCCTACCTGCACTTGGCGTAGGCTTATCGAACTACTATATTAAAATCAAGCTAGTTGCAGTTGACTACAGATAAGTGAAGTATCTAGACACATACTCAAAGAAATATCAATTCATTCACGACTTGAACTAAAGTTTTCTTTTATGTTTCAGTCAAGTCTGCGCAAGTTCTGCGACAACTCAACCTACCAATATGTCGAATCCGTTCGAGTCCGCCTGGGAGCGGGCGATGATCTGCAGATATATGTTGGTCAGCTCCTCGACGGCAATCTTCTGGACACAGGCACAGGCCAAGTAGGGGAAAATGCGATATTGCTGTGAGAGAAAGAGACGAGCATTAGACCTAGAGAATGGATGAGGTATACGACTCCACTTACATGCAGCTGGTACTCGATGATGGGCATCTCCTCGCCCTCCCGTTCCGGGCCGAACTGTTTGCGGACTGCGGCATAGCGGACCGCGATGACGGCCGCGCTGCACAGGGTGTTGGCCGACTCCTGCATGATGCCGATGCGCCCCGCCGAGAAGCCCTCGAGGGCGGCGCCCAGTGCCTGGCCGGGATCAGTGAAGACGCTTTCGTAGACGCCCTCGGGCGTCACGTTGCCCGTCCGATTGAGATGATTGTCGCGCGGTATGCGATAGTTGGTGAAGACCACAAAGCCGTTGTCGATGCCATTCAGGCCGCTCTTCTCGCCAATGTCGCCGACCAGGACGCCCGGATAAGGCAGCAATGTCTTCGGGTCGCGAATGGGTACGAGAAAGCCATGCAGTCCGTGGTTCTCACCGTCGGCTGTGATCAGATTGGCAAAGGTCACGGCCACGGTGGCCATTTTGCCCAGATTGCCCACCCAGCACTTGGCCGCCTCGAAGTCCGGCGTGTTGATCACGAACTCCTGCGAGCTGGGATCGTAGGTGGCGGTGGTGCGAACTCGCTTTGTGTTGCTGCCGTGCGAGACCTCCGTGACGGCCAGGCAGGTGATGATCTCCCGGTTCCAGGCGGCGTCAATATACTTGGTGTGCTTCTCCGTGCCCATCGCCCTGATCGCATTGTTGAACAGGCCCACGCCCAGCGCTATCTTCACGGACAAGCTGGGCGAGTAGCTGTTCAGCGCCTCGTTGATGTACATCAAATACTTTGTCTTGGACGAGAAGTTCAGGCTCTCGATTTCCTTGGGCACCAGATCCATTTGCTTCATGCTATTCACCTGCATCGCGACCACCCGCTTCTGCTCGTCCATAGACAGGCTACGCGAGGCGTGTGCAAACAGCGGATCACTTTCCAGGCGACGCCACACATTGTACTGGATAAGAGGGAATGGAATGGAAGTAGATGAGTTGCAGTTTGAGAGGAATTGCAATTGAATGACAACTTGAATAATCTTTAACTCACTTTGATGCGCAGTCCCTGCTCCGTTTCGAAGATCAAACGCAAACGCTTCCAATCAAAATTAGCGCGCTTGCGGTAAACAGCAAGACCTCCGCCCGTTGGCAGATCGGGAATAAAACTGGTGTCCACCTTGTCCATGCTGTCTGTATTTCACTGTGATAGAAATAATAATAAACAGAATCTGATAAGCTGAATTACTAGCCGTTGCGTTACATTGTCTGATTGGAAGTCAACTGCTTTTAAGTGAAGTACTTCTGCTTCGATAACCGCATGCAGTTGAAGCCATAGTAAATCGGTTAACGGGTAAATAGAGCAGTCAGTTACCCGCTTGACATACTCGCGGTTGTGGTGCAACTGTGCATGGCTAAGCCAAGTGACAAGCCACAGTTTGAGGGCGACTGTTTGTTGCCAAGAGCCAATACACAAACCATACAGTAGCATCCAAAATAATCAACCACAAGATTATGAATCTATAATTTGTAGTCCATAATCCAATCTTCTTTTATCACTTTCAATAAAACTTGGAATTCCGACAGACTTCAATCTTTGGATTGTCAAATGAAAATAACACACCTGGAGCTGAGTGCAAAACGATTGTGGAGATAAGCGCGAACGTAATTAAATTATCGCGATTTCTAAATTGTCCAATAAAAGTGCTCGGTGCCGCACAGGAATCTGAATTTAAGTGATTCAAGTGTCTGAGAACATTTATGACACACACTTCACACTAACAGGCAATAAACTTAAGTTTAATTTTTGTTCACATATAAACAGTGGGCATAAGCCGCACTACAAGTCAATAACAAAGGAATTTGGGGATCGGCCTCCACCTAGGGTATATCGGTTAAGTTTGGGTATGTAATGATTAATGTATAATTTATTAAGCGATATTTAATTAACTGTTGGGGTATATAGGAAGTATTAGATCTACATAACACGTATATGCCATGAAGAAAATGTTGTTTTTTTTTTCAATTTCAATTTCATATAAAAGTCTGCTCAAAAGCTATTCTTAGCATAGTTTTCAATGATAAGCTTTTACATCAGTTCCATTGTTATCCATCGATTGAATATATAATATCTAAATATCATAATGAATTCTGCGGAATTTATCAGCAATTAGCGGCAGTCGCAGATAATATTGGAAGATAAGACGAAAAAATAGTTGAGAAACGAAGCTTCTCATATTATAATATTTTGATATCTCTATGAAGGTTCAAGAGCGCAAATTTTGTTATTCAGACGCTTAATTAGCAATTCTCTCTCGAATTCGCTATGTC